TTCTTTTTCGGTGCTTCCTTTTACGGCTCTTACTGTGTTTACACTGCCCATCTGCTCTTGCGTGCTGTCTACTCTGTCCAGGAGACTTCCAGCATCTCACTAACAATTGCTGTAAATCCCCAGTCTGTTCATCCCTATCATTGCCATCTCTGGGTCTTGGTCTGATGTTTCCTTTCAACCAGTGTTTGGTTGTTGTTTTGATTTTGGTTGTCTTTTAGTATGCCTTGACATTTTCTCACAATAGATCAACATATTGGGCTACATAAGAAGAATGACTGAAATAGCCTAAGTGCTGCGGTAGTGAAGAGGCAGGCTGTGGGCTGCGTTCTAGAGTTCTGTGACTGGGACTGAGTCTTCATGAGCCTGAGACTCTGCCTGTGATGTCTGTACACTTCTCAGCTCCCTCCTTCCCATTAGTTGGGCCAAGATGTCAAGAGGGAGGTAGAAAAAGCTGGAAATAGGGCTATTGTATAATCTAGCTATACCATTTGTAGGCGTACACCTAAAGGACTTTATATCCTACCACAGAGATACCTGTTCATCCGTGTTCGTCAATGCTCTATTTACAGTAGCCAGGAAGTAGAAAAAGCCTAGATGTCCATAAATCAATGAATGGATAATGAAATTATTCATCAGTTAAGAAAAATTATATGAAATTCACAGATAAAAGAATGGATCTGGAAATAATCACTCTGAGGGAGGCAGCCTAGACCCAGTAAGACAAATGTCATATAGCTTTGAATCTTCATATATGTGTGTTTCCTTTGGAATCTCTATTGAGTTTAGGAATTCGGTAAGGGGCCATGGGAAGGTAGATAAATATAATGGTATCAGGGAAAAGAGGAAATAATAGCACAGGAAGAGGTAAATGCAGTGGGAATGGGAGGGTAGGGTAAAGGAGAGAATAGAGGGGGATAGCTAAGAGCAAAGACCTTTAAAAACATCATATGGAAATCTACTATAGAAGCTTCCTAAAATATATCCATACATATATATAAAAGGAGTTAGGCTATAATGGGGCAACAGCACCCCACTAGACACCGCAGGCCAACAAATAAAAATCATGGTGCCATATATGGATTACCTCTTCAGGAGTTTTTGGTTCCTAAGGTCCCAAAAACCCCCAAATCTTGAAGGTTACTGCTCATTCTCTTGGTTACCCCCCAGAACGTGACAGTAAAACTCTTTAGCTGAAGCTATAGAACATGGAGAAATCGAGCTGTTACTTGCCAGGAAGCTTTGTCCCTACCGGATATCCTCAGAGTTGGAAGGTGCTATGCACATGACTACAAGAGCAAAGTAACCATCCATGTGTGAACCTGACAACCTGATTTGATTCCACATGGTGGAAAGAGGGAGCCAGCTCCAGCAAGATGTCTTCTGACCTCTGTATGCACACACGTGTGCACACACACTAGAAAGATAGATAGATAGATAGATAGATAGATAGATAGATAGATAGATAGATAGAGACTAATAAAGAAATACATAAATAAATAACGAAGGAATGGAAATGGTAAAATTGTATTTCTGGAACAATGGCTTAGCAGTTAAGAGCACTAGCTAGTGTTCTAGAGGACCCAGGTTCAATGCCCAGCACCCAGATGGTAGCTCACATTGATAACTCCAGTTCCAGGGGATTTGGCCTCTTTGGATACCAGGCATGCATGTGGTACACAGACATACATAAATAATAGTTTTTAAAAAGAAAATTGAACTATACCTGTGATTTCTAATCAGATCTAACATTTTCAAATGGGTGTGATGGTAAATCGCTTTTCTTCTCTTGTGAGTTCCCTGATTTTTGATCTGGCTCTATTTTCCCTTTAAAATCTTAAATTTTGTTCCCACCATCATTTTATAGAGCAGAGATGCCTTTCCTCTCACTCCAAAAATGCTTTTACTTTTTGTTTTGTGTCTGGTTTTTTTAACATTAGAGGATTTGTTCTTCAGTCAAATCTTCATTATCTTACTTGGAGATACCTTCCCCCACTCAAATCTAAATCTTTATTCATATTTCTTTGCGGATATTTGGGGGTTTTTCTAACATGTCTTTAAATATTATGGAATTCATTTTGTCAAATATGTAAAGTTTTTAATGGTTTGCCAACTTAATCCCATTTTCTGATTATTGCTAGCATATGGGAATCTGATATTTTTTATGAGTGTTTTAAAATTGTCAGCCTTTCCCAAATTCTTATTCTAATTTTAGATGCTGCTGTTTTCTAGGTAATGATGTATTTTTCTTTGTGGTTCTTATCCCTCTTACTGTACTTTATTTCTTTGGCTCTAAATTTAAGAACGCATTAGATGACAGTGTAGCTATTCTGATTTTTTTTCTTTATACTAAAATGAACATTGTTTTACTTATTTTTGTATCTTGAGAGAATCTCTCATGTGCAACACAAAATGCCCTTTACATAGTATGTAGCCCAAGCTGGTCTTGAACTCACGATTCATCTACCTCCACATCTTCGTTGCTAGGGTTACAAACATCCATCAGCACACTAAGGTCTCCTAGCACTTCTTCATTTATTTTGGGTACAGAGAAATACGTGTCACTGAGGCAGCCTCGTGCCTACTGGTCAGTGTCTGTTCTTACTCGGCACTGCCTCCCGGTCCCCTCCCCTCCCCCCTCCTTCATCTTCTTCCTCTCCTGTTCCTGTTTCCACATATGTATTTCACACCCTCTTGTCCCTTCACCCCCCCCCTCCCCTTAAGACCTCATTCTCCTCTCTGGCAGTTCTCTCCTCTCACATCACCTGCCTGTGTGTCCGTTTCAATCTGGATTCTGCGTATAGAAGGGCACGTGCCTATGTTTCTCTATCCTTTCATCTGCAGATGGATATCTGGGTTCTTATGCACACGCGGCAGTAAATGCGGATGGCGCAAGTACCTCTGTGTTGTATTTAGAATCCTTTGGGCACATGCCCAGGGGTAGTATGGCTGGCTTGCATGGTAGTTCTATTTTAGTTTTTGGAGGAACCTTCACATTAATTTTCATAGTGGCTATAATAAGGTTTATATTCCTACCAGCAATGACTGATGATTAATGACTCTTTTCCCACATCCTACTACTCAGCATTTGTTACCATTTTATTTCTTAATGATATCCATCTGACTGGGGTGAGACAGATGCTCAAAGCTGTTTGCATTACATTTTCCATGATGGTTAAGGATAACATTTTGTTGTTGTTGTTTCTTTAAATATGTATTGGCCATTTGTATTTCTTCCTTTGAGATCTGACTATTCCATTCATAAGCATATTTAATTGATCACATGATTTGGTATTTGGGGTTATAATTCTTACAGAATCTAGATACTAATTCCCCATCAGATGTACAGTTGACCATTGGGTAGGTTGTCTCTTTACTGTGTGGAGGAATTTTTATTTCATTTAATCCCCTTTATCAATGCTCATTGTTATTTCCTGTTACTATAGTCTTTTTTTTTATCAAGTCCTTGCTTATACCTGTATCCTGGAGTGTTTTTCTACATTCCAGCAGCTTCAGGGGTTAACTAGCACAGTGAAGTCCTTGATCCATTTTCAGTCCGTTTTTATTCAGGGTGAATGTATCCTCCACTCCTTTGCATTTACATAGCCCTGTTTGTTCCCCAGATCCTTGTTGGAAAGCTGAACCTTAGGGCAGAGAAAATGAGAAGTGACTGGTGAGTGCAGTCTACCCTGTGGTCACATGAGGGTGTGCTAAAGAGATCTGTGAACATGTCAGTACAGAGCCCACACCTCACTTGCTCACCCGAGTCCTCGGGAGCTGTGCCCAGCTCCCATCAGAAAGCTCCCTCAATTTTGATGATCACTTGAAAGTGTGCACCCGCTCAACTACTACAGCCCTAGTGCAGCATCTTTTCCAAGAGTCTCATGATGTCTACCTGACATGCCATTCCTCTGACCTAGAGGGATGCTACAGATCCTGTCATACTGCTTCACTCATAGTATGTAGGCTTCCTGAGAAGGCAGGCCGAATAATAAGTGTTATTACATCAAGTTTCATTGGCCTCCAGCTCCTAGAACATTACAGTTCCTGCTGGGCCATCTCGTCTTGCAGCAGATACACAAAGACAAAGGCCGTTGAAGTTTTGATGGGAAAAAGTTGGGCAAGATATGCTTGTTGGGTGCTCCAAGACATTCCTTGGCTGCTAAAAGAAAGATGGACCCAGTAGAGTGTTGACTGGTGGTAGGTGCAGATAGCTGTACTCTCGTGTAACATCAGTCCTTCTTGATCTCCCTGGGCAGCTCCTACCCTAGAAGCAGATGCACAAGCATCTCTCACCCCTGAACTCATCACTTTTCAGCATCTGCATCTCCCTATACCCTCTGTCCTTTCTGCCAAGGGCCCAGGTGTCTGTGAGTGTGTCTTGAATATCTGCTTCCTCATCAATAGTCTGTGTCCCAGCCTTACCTCCTGGAGACACCCATATCCCTCCATCTTCATCCCTGTCTCTCTCTTTCCATATTTTCACTTTGTATGCACACACTTGTATGTGTCTGATATACCAAAGGATGTAAAAGAATAGAGAGCATTATATACTTACAAGTCTAAGTATAGTTGAACTGCATTATTCCTTTCCATTTTTTTTTTTTTTTGATGGAGCCAAAAACTTGAAACACTTTATACTGGAATGTTATATTGAATGGCTGAATTTATCTTTACTTGAAGCATTTTTATCTCATTAAATAAATATTAAAAGCATTCATTTTAAAACACTGACGATATAGTAAATTGTTAGGCTTTTCACTTGTGAGATATCTGCAATTACGATCAAATGGAGGGACAGAGGGTCAGAGTGAGGGAGTGGGAAGGTAAGATTGTAACTGAAATGGAAGAAAGGGTTAGTTTTGTTTTTTTTTTAACATGTGAGAGTCTGAATCTGTGACATGCTCTCCTTAGACTCTTCCTGCACCTCAGTGGTTCCGTTCTAACTGTCCTCTTCTTTCCTTTTTGCTGTGTGCACACACGGTGGGCTCTGGGAACCTCAGGATGAAGTTTTAACTGTGATCCGGAGAGTGGACGATAATTGGGCAGAAGGCATGCTGGGAGACAAAGTCGGCATTTTCCCACTCCTGTACGTGGAGGTAAGCCCACTAACACACCTGTGTGCCTCTGTTGTTTGAGTCACCAGAATGCGGGGCCCCGGCCTGGGGAGCCCCTTTCTGAGGTAGAGGGAGGTTCCTCCCCAAGCATGTAATGCCTCTGCTTCCTGGAGGCTTCTCCTAAACTGCCCCGGTGTCTGAGGAATCCTCTGGCCACTTCCAGCGGTTACTCCCAGCCCTGGCTGCTGTCTCCTCACCATGGGCTCCAAGGGTAGGACCTAGACAGCCTTCCCCATCCTCTCAGACACCCAGACCCATCACTCATTTTCCTGAGACGTCGGAATCCTACTGCACTGTCTCCCAACCCAGAGAGAAGAGTTTGTGGTGAAGGCAGCATCTCCCTGGACACCCACACAGATCTCTAAGAAACACGACTGGCCATTGGCCATGTCCTGACCCTGATGGGAATGTCGTTCTGTATGCTGTGAATGTGTGTTGCTCTGATTCGGTTGATAAATAAAACACTAATTGGCCAGTAGCCAGGCAGGAAGTATAGTATAGGCGGGATAAGCAGAGATGAGAATTCTGGGAACAGGAAAGCTGAGTGAGGAGTCACCAGCTAGACACAGAGGAAGCAAGATGTGAAGGCAGAACAGGGAAAAGGTACCAAGCCACGTGGCTAAACATAAATAAGAATTATGGGTTAGTTTAAATGTAAGAGCTAGTCAGTGGTAGGCCTGAGCTAATGTCCGAGCAGTTCTAATTAATATAAGCCTCTGTGTGTTTACTTGGGTCCAAGTAGCCGCAGGGCTGTGGGAGCCAGGCAGGACCAGGAAAACTTCAGCTACATGACCCCTCCTTGCATTTTTTTTTTAAATTTTTCAAGACAGGGTTTCTCTGTGTAGCTTTGCACCTTTCCTGGAACTCACTCTGTAGCCCAGGCTGGCCTCAAACTCACAGAAATCCACCTGCCTCTGCCTCCCAAGCGCTGGGATTAAAGGCGTGCACCACCACTGCCCAGCCCCCCTTGCATTCTTGCTAGCTGGGCAGCTCATCCAATAGGATCCACTCCGCAGAGGGAACCTGAGGCTAATCTGAGACCTGTTTGTTTCCTGGCTCCTTTCCGTGTCCAGGAAACACTCGTTTCCCAGTGCCGCCTTAGGACAGTTGCTAAGTGGAGGCCATGCAAGCCACATGTCTGCCCTGTGCTGTTTGTTCAACAGGATTTGCCCCACTGTGTATGTCCACCATTTGTCGCTGCAAGGCCACGTGTGGTCCATGAGTAGGCCAAATGTCTGATGACCACTGGGGGTATCCCATAAACTAAGACTGAATGCCAAACACTTGTCAGTACTTACTTTATCTTCCAATAACATGAACATTAACCAAGGCCGACCACCTCCACTTTGTAGATGATCAGACAGAGAGCCCATGGGTTCTGGGGGTGTCGGGCCCCACGGCTGATGTGTGGAATTCTGGGGGTGTCGGGCCCCATGGCTGATGTGTGGAACACAGACAGTTAGCTTTAAGCTTTGCCTTTCACCTCTTGTCCCACATGGCGTCCCACAAATGACTCAAGCTTTGTTCAGTTTTGTGTGGAGTTCCTGACTGCAAGCACACCCGGTATATAAGAACTTGAGAGCCAGGGGAGGGGCAGGCAGGACACATGGTCATCAGGGTGTGCATGTGGTAGACATTTGTTAGAAACATCCACAGGGCTTGGCTGTCCGTGGGGTCAAGGCTCAATGGTGTGACCTGGCCTTCAAGACCCTCGACAATCTTGCTGTGTTTTTCTAGCCTCAACTCTCCTCACTCCTCACTGCTCTCCCCAGATATTCTAGATAACATTTATTTCGGATTGACTGCCCAGGAGACCCAGGAGCTGCCCGAGCAATGACAGTCAGCCCATGCATTCCTATCACCCCGGTCTTTGTTATATCTACAGTTGCCTTTAATACCTCCTGCAGTTTTTACACACTCTGTATTGCTGCTCCTTTCTTGTCTGTACTGCTACTTAAAATAGATAACTTGCTGTATGAATATCATACACCATACAGTCTAGAAGTCCAAAATCCAAAGTCCCTGGAGACTTTTGATAGTGTAGTCTTACAGAGATCCCCCCCCCCCAAATGCAAGAATGACCATGGAAACTGGATGACAAGAGTTCCAGACTAGAGACAACTCAGATGTCTGTCAGCAATGGAATGGCTAAGTGCCGCATGCTGTGTCCATACACTGGGACACTATCCCACAAGGAAAATGAGGAAGAAAAGAGATGATGGATGAATCTCACACTTTCTGGGGAAACACATCCACTGAACACCTGGAGGATTCTGCATTGTAAGGTTCTAGGAGCAGACAGGCTTGGATGATGCTGGGAACCCACGTGGCGATCACTCAAGGGTTCGATGGTCCTGATCTTGGTCTGAGTGGTGTTGCTATTATAAAGTAGCATACCCTGAGAAGCATGTGTGCTTGTCTTTTTACCTCCAATACCCAATGGGTGAGGAAGGCTATCTGGGCACCCTAATGCTGGTAAATAATGCCCTTGTTGTGTCTACCTGTTTTCTGAAAGGGGCTAACACACATACCGGGGAGATTGTGAGCTAGAACACAGGCTCAAACTTAATCCCGTAGGCCTTCCTAGGCCTGCAGTTATATCCAAAGAGCTGCTGGTGAGCCCACTACCTCTGTAGTGGCCTTCCTGTACTCTGGTTCTCAGAGCAGTGCCTTTTAAATGCCTTTAAGGGGCTAGAGAGATGGCTCAGTGGTCAACAGCACTTGCTGGCCTTCCAGAGGATCTGGGTTCCATTCCAGCAACCACACGGCAGCACACAACCATCTGTAATTCCAATTCTAAGGGATCCAGAATTGTATTCTGGCCTGCACAGGTACCAGGTACAGAGGTGGTGCACAGACATACCACAGGCAAAACACCCATCCAGGAAAGACTGTGCTATCCAATGCCCAGCGTCCGCCACACCAGCTATTGTTCTGGAGCTCTGGCTCCAAAGTGAGCTGTGCTGAAGAAAGGAAATTCAGATAGGGTATCCCCAGAGAACTTTGCTGCTTCTGTACCAGTTCTTCTCAAGGGCTGAGATGCAGAGCGAAAGCCTGACATTTACCCAGGTACCCTCTAGGTTAGGTCATAGCATCTAGAGGACCAGGAATTAACTCTCATCCATCTAGAAGACCCAACTGGTATTTGAACTTAGTTCGTGGGAAGGAGGCTAGGGTTGTGGCTTTGTCTGCAGCTCCAGCAGAGGGCACGGTTTGGTGTGCTGCTTGTCCCCTAATGTTCATGAAGAAATATGACCAGTGCATTGACCTTGCACCATAGGTATGTGGCATATCCATGTCCTTATGAGAAACACAGGGTTTCCTGGGCAGCCATTTCATCTGGGACCTGATGCCTGGGACAGCAACTGCAGGTTTTAGGGCAAGCATCTGGCTAGAATCCTGCCAGCTCACCAAGGAACTCATGTCTGAGCTCACCTTCCTATCTATGTGGGATACAGACACTAATACTGAGACCTTGTTGGGCCATAAATGAAAGATAGCATGTCCCACAAGCTGCATTGTGTTCTTCAGCTGTGGCTGGCTCTTACCTAAGCTTGCCAGACAAGCACAGTGAGATGAAGGTTGCAGATGTGGCTGGAGCCAGCCTGACCTTTACTCCTGAACATCCCTATTCTGAGAAGGCAATCCCTGTCTCCAGGAATGGCCATGGCTCCTTGTGCACCACAGAAGTACTCACCTTGCCATTTTCCCTGTAATCCTCACACATTAGCTGTCCCAGGCCTGCCTCTGTCCACACTATGCTTGCCCAAGACTTTTCCTCATGTCCTTCCCAGCTCCTTTGCCTGCTGCCCCAACCCCATCCATGGCCCCAGGTCCCAGCATTGCCATTTTGTCCTTTACCCCTAGCAGCAGTTCTCAATCTGTAGGTCACAGCCCTTTGGAGGGTCAAAAGACCATCAGAAAACACAAATATTTACATTACAGTTCATAACAGTAGCAAAGTTAGAGTTATGAAGTAGCAATGAAAATAATTTTATGGTTGGGGGGTCACCACAACATGAGGAACTGTAGTAAACTGTATGCTGAGGGTTGCAGCATTAGGAAGGTTGAGAACCACTGCCTAACAGTGCTGTGAACCTTTCAGCAGTCATCTCCATGCTGAGACCCAGGGCACCTTCTCAGTCATCAGATGACAATGGGTAATGCACATTTGCTGGGATGTAGAAAGTAGAAGTCTGTATTCATCACCATTAGGAACAGGAATGATGGAGACCCAGGGGCTGGGACAAGAATTAAGCCCAACATTCAAAAAGGTCTTCCTTTCAAGGTCTTTATTCCAGGAGAGAGTAGAGTAGTGCCATTATTTTGGTATTGTATCTTGTGCTTTTATTAATAGAAGTACAATGAGCAGCCCAAGGGAATCTCTCTTCCCCCAATCAAGAGTTCAAGGATGGTTTGAATGGGCCACAGGATAGCTTTTGAAAGGCTCTAGCCCTGCCCTGTAGCATGAACCTGAAGACCTCCATCCAGCACAGTCCCTTTTCACGGGGCTCCAAAATAGTGTGGTCATAGTCAGCCCTCGGCACAGCTCTCAGCTAGCTAAGGCAAGTTAGGGACATCGTAGGCTTCAGACATGGCCCCATCTAGATACATCTTCACCTCTGCATTAGACATGTGGCCTGTGACCAACCTTGCCACCTTTATGAGACTCAGCAACTTATGTCTTCCAGAGGTTGGAGGCCTAGAACACTCGGAAGCATTATTGTCAGTGCTGCACTCGAGGTGGTGAGAGAGACTAAGGGGACCAGCTCCAGGTAGTGGCAGCATCCTCATCTCAGAACAGATAGGAGCATACGGGGTCAGATTATACCAGACCCAAGCCATTGGTCTGGTGTCGCTACATTTGGGGGTTAAACAAATCCTGTATGGTGCATGGGAAACTTCTGGTACTATTTATAGATTCTGAAGAAAAAAAATAGTGGTAGCAGAACTAAAATCCTGATTAAGCTAAAGAGATGTAA